GAAAGTCAAATTAAAATTTACCAAATTCAAAGAAAAGAGACAACATAATGCTAAGAAAAACTGTGTAACACTAAATGCTTGTATTAGAAATGAAAACTCACAAGCCAATAACCAGGTCCTAGAAATGAGTCAAGGGAAGAACAAAGCATGACCAAACAAAGAGAGAAAATATTTTTGTTTGTTAAAACAAAAATAAATGAAATTAGATTTCTTTTACTAGTAGAAAGCTCTTTATCTACCTTTTCCTACCTTAACCGTTGATGGTGATCTTGCTGTCTTTTTGATTGGTTTAAGGATTCAAAGCATGGCTATGCTAATTTAGATTTCTAGCCCAAAATTTTGAAGTTCTGAAATCCTGGCCAAGGAAAGCAATTAATCTCACATGGGAAAAAGGTTTAATTTGGCTAAGTGTAAACTTGTTCTTCCTTTATTATATTCAACTCCTCAGTCAAAAATGCACAGTAATATTAAGCAAATGTAAACTGTAAGAAAGCTAAGTGAGTCTCCTCAGGTTCCAGATTGAAAAGTTTTATATAGACATGAAAGTAAAGTGCCATTGGCTACACACAGTAGGGAAAGGAAATGTAGGCTATCCAAGTTTAAAGCCTTTAGCAGTCTTAGTTTACATGTTCCTGGATTTAAAAACAAAAAGTCAGGAATCCTCAAGAATTGCTAGGCCCACCAACTCCCAATAGATCAAGTCCTGCAGGAGTGTATCTGTAATTTCCTAAGATCACAGAGTTCTCATGAGCAATGGGAGACATTTGTTCTCTTCTCAGTCCCATCAAAGATGCTGCACTCAGTAAAAGACAGGGCATTCATCCTTTAAGGGGTATTCTTTCAGAAGTTCAAGATGGCTTATTGCAAAATGTATGATACTTCTGTTGTTTAGAAGAAAAATCCAATATTGTTACCTCCAGAGCAATCACATGGTTATACTAAGTATAAAATACTCTTTTTGTTTTGTGGAAAGGTAATTGATTGAAATGTTACTTTCTAAACATTCTTTTATTCCACCCAGCAGAGGGGAAACTAGCAGTAATTAATGTATCTATTTAAGATTGTGTGCTTACAGTCCTAGATATCGATACTGTGAGGAGACTTAGTGATAAAGATGGCTCATATTGCTTTGCCTGATCCAAAACAACTCTACTAGTTATAGGCAGGACCTTGGCTTTGGCCATCTTCTGAACTCTATGTCCTATCCATTCATGCAAACTGTTGCCACCTGAGAAATGAGGAACATTAGTCAGAAAATGTTAAATAACATGTTATATTAGTCAGGGTTCACTAGACCAGAGCCAATGGAGTGAAAACATATTGGGGGTGGGGTGTTATATGATTGATTGACATACAATGCAGCAGTTTTCAAACTAGAGTGACTGAAAACCTGGTTGCTGCTCAGCCAGGGTGTCTGGATATCTTAGGAGTGACAATACTGTGATGCTAAATGCTTATAGGATTCCTGAACACTCACTAGTCTTCAGTTCAGTTTGGAAGGCTGAAGAAGCTAGGTTCTGATGTCGTCGGAGGAAGTCAGCAGCTAGGTTCTGATGTCATTGGTAGTGACAGCAACAGAGTGGAT